GGGATTAATAAAGTTTATCTATCTAATAATATTACAGTTACTCACAAAAAATAATTAGTTACAATACTACTTTTGATGCCACCCTCTACTGACTTAAGTAATGATATTACTTTTTAAAAGAGTAATGAGTAACTAGCCAAACTCTGGATGTGATAATGTGCCACTAAAGAGGAAAAAGAGATTTTATCATCATTTTTTTTAAGAAAGGTTAATCAAAACTTTATATTTGAAAAACTTCTTTGAGGATTTTCACATATCGGAAATTTGTGTGTGTTACCTTTTGGATTCTTATGGATTTCTAAAAATTCTAAAAAAAGAAGTTTCCCCCTTTATATAAAAAATAAGAATTGTCTAGGATCTCATTGGAATTTTTTTTATTGGATCTTAAAGACTTTTATTCATTTTTACAAGAATAACCAAAAAGACTTTTATTCCTTGTTCAAAATCTGTTTTCCACCCATTGACAGTAACATTTCCACCACCGCAACACAAATAGCTTATTTAAAATACCCAAGAAAACTGATTAACAAACATTATATATATTATAATAATATACAATATATATAAACAACACCATTGTTGAATCAGTGTGCAACGGTCTGCTGATACTACTGCTCTTGAACACACACACTCATTAATGCTCTCAGTCTCCTCCCACAGACGCACCATCAGATCTGTTTGGCAACAACACTGTGTCGTTACCTCTTAACTCCAGATCGATATATCTTCTACAAACAATCTCTCTCTCTCTCTCTCTCTTTTTAACTGAGCACACACCGGACACTGGTCCCTTTCTCCCCCTGACACCTGGACCAACATGATGGTCGGATTCCGCTGCTGTCCGCTGATCCTGTGCCTGGCCCTGGGCTCGGTGCTCGGGCTCGGTGAGGACCTCGACCGGCCTCTGTTCGGGCCTCCGGGCTCTCCTATCCGGCTGCAGGAGACCGACCCGGGCCTGAAGAAGGCTCTGGAGTTCGCCGAGGAGCGCTACAACCGGGGCTCCAACGCCATGCACCTCCGCAAAGTCAGCCGACTCCTCTCCGCCACCAAACAGGTAAATAAAGACGTTGTATAAAAATGTATGTAAAATGTATTTATTCACAGAATTGTAGCGTTTTATTTTGTCATATCATACTGGTGCGGAGGCAGAATGTCGATTATATAACGATTTATTTCCCTGCGATAAGAATTATATGGGATTTGTAAACAACAACAACAAAACAAGTGTGCCAGTTTAAAAGTCGCTCAATATGCATAAACTGGTCACGTGGCGGTGTAAATGTTCCTCATGCGTACATTAAAATTAAGTACGTTTTTATTTCCCCTTTCATGTACAATATCACATTTTTGATTTGTTTATTTTTTGGGGGCGCTTTTTGAAAATATATGCTTCTCAGTAGGTTTATTTTTTAAATTCTGGCCGGAAGTCCTGTCATTGAGTTTAACCTGGCTTCACACCGCCACCAAATGGCCTCACTGGAGTTGCATTGTGCAGACTAGTGTCAATGCAGCAAAAGAAGCATCCAGAGATCCACATATAGTCAATATACACTCACAAATAAAAGCTTTGTCTGGCAAATACACATGCATTGTATCACCACTGTATACCGCTTAAACACAATTATGTCTGAATAAATGCTTTATTAAGGGTATAATGTCTTTTTTGTACATTAAAAATAACCAGTGTATGTGTGTATTTTTGTGTTTTCCAGCTGGTTAAGGGCATCCGCTACACTATAACAGTGGAGCTGAGTAACACTCAGTGCAAGAAATCCACCATGCTCAGGACATGTGACTTCTATCCAGAGTCACAGAAACTCAAGGTAGGATGTGTGTGTTCGTATATATATATGTGTGTGTGTGTGTGTGTGAGAGAGAGAGAGAGAGAGGGATTGTGAATTAGTGAAAGAGATTAACTCACTGAGAGAAAGTAGGTCACTGCCATGGTTTTAAAATCGCAGCATAAGAAGTTTGTAATAACCCAAAATGGGAATGTGAATCGATTTTATTATTGCAGCAATGCAGTCCTGTTTGTTCACATGTCACCAGACATCTGATCTTGTGACTTGAGTTTTGACTTGAAGTAACCCCAAGCATGCTCATGCCTCAGGCCCGCATGCAAGCAAGCATAATACACATTTGTTATTTGCTTGGTTTTCTATTCTTAGACTTTGCAGTGGAAATCTGTTCCCTTTTTTACAAAAAAAAACAACCTCCAAATCCAACTTAAAGGCAGCCAATTCAATCTTAAAAATTTAAAGACATACAAGAGCTATAAATAACTTTCTCTGTTTAATGTTTTTTAACTTGTGCTGCAGTGTGTTTTCAGCACTCTTATATGCTGCATATGACAATATAATCAGGTTGATTCACTGTTTAATATATATGTATGTTTTTTGCCGATATCAGACGGAGGTGTGTGTGTTCGAGGTGTGGGACATTCCCTGGCAGGGCAGTTCAACTCTGCTCAAACAGAAGTGCCAGCCTAAAGGTAAGTCAGCAGCCAAAAAGTTAACATTTATCACTACACAGTGAGGATTAATGGGTTTTCAGTTACAACTCTCCTGAAAGCTGAAGAACACTGATACTAATCACAGTGAATGACTGAGATTCCTCTGCACTGTTATCTTGTGTTTATATTTACCCCAAGAGGTCTGTGTTATCCCATGATGCTTCCTGTAAAAGCAGCAGTATCTGCCAAGATGACCGTTGCTCTATCAAACTTGTTAAACCAACGTATATACAGAAAATAATCTGTAAAGTGCTGTTTGACACCACCATGATAAAGAAACATTCCCAGATAATCAAAGCATCCATTTGCACCGATCTTACCAAGCACACCAAACCAACCAGTTAGTGCACTGACACAAAAGCAGTTATGTAAAAAAAAAAACAGGAGAAACTTTGCATGTTGCCAAAAACAGTTCGATAAATGTGACCTTTATTTCTCAGTTATTATGTAACGCTAATGTTTACTAATCTGGTCGATAAGTGAAGCTTTATACCAAAGAGATAAATGAGTTAAAAGGTTAAATAGGGATAAGGCAACCAATAAATGTTAATTTTATTTCTTCCTGTAAATGGGAAAATAAGCTATGTGTATGCGACAGTATCATTTATTTGAGGGTTACTTTTGAACGCATGAAACATGAATTTAGGTGTTATACACGTTGACACTTAACATGTTTTCCTTGTCTCTGTTATCAGCTGAGCCTCAACAAGAGGAGACCAACAAGGCGATTGATGCATCCACCAGCGAGCCTCTGGAGGTATAAATGATGATATTCAGATCAATAACAGGACTGACAACAATGGAGATTGTTGCCTCTTACATACTCCAGCAGTCTATTTGTTGAACTTGTAGATTGAGGATAAAGTTTGTGTTTCTCTGCTCTTTATCTGGCAGGATTCTGTGCAGCTGTTGGGTCAGTTCAAAGAGTTCATGGTGAAATACAATAAGGTCTACAGCAGCCAGGAAGGTGAGTGACTGAGATGTGTATAAGGAACATACCAAACATAGCAAGATGCAGATATAGTGGCACATTCCTGTCTACATGCGTTGAACCCTTTATGTACTCACAGCTTTCTCTTAACAACAATAAAAGTCCTTCATCCTGACTGAAAACCTGAAAACAAGGCAAAATATCCCCTATTGACTCAGAGCCTTTGGAATTATTAAATCATCTGCACTGATTGATTATGAGCATTTCATATATGGTATATAAATGATATATGAATAAAAAGGACATTTAAAGTAGCAAAGAATACAGTTTAACTGCATAATTATAAATATAATTTCAGAAATCCACAAACACAAACAGGTATAGACATGGTAACTGTTAATGTCTGATAATAGAAAGAAGAAAAGTTTTTATAAGGACTGACTGTTTGAGAAGAGATAGAAAAGGTGGAGTGAATAATATAAAATAATATACAGGGCACTAAAACAGAGTCTTTCACTGTCAGGGGCAAATCATTTTTTTTACATATATGTTTCTTTTACCTTTGATCCTGCAGAGGCAGACCGTCGTCTGCGCATCTTCCACGAAAACCTGAAGACTGCTGAGAAGCTCCAATCTTTGGACCAAGGGTCAGCTGAGTATGGAGTCACCAAGTTCAGTGACCTAACTGGTACGTGTCTGTGTGTGTGTGTGTGTGTGTGTGTATTTGTGTCTGTGTGTCTGCATCTGTTTGTATTTCCACACACTTTCCAATGAAGAAATGCATCTTCTGCTTTTCATGTGTTGCATCAGCTTTTCTTTTAAAACATCCTTTTAAGTAACCCAAAGGTTTGTCTGTGTTCTCCAGAGGAAGAGTTTCGCTCTACGTACCTGAATGCGCTACTGAGTCAGTGGACTCTTCATCAACCAATGAAACCGGCCTCTCCTGCCCAAGACCCCGCCCCAGCCAGCTGGGATTGGCGGGATCACGGAGCCGTCAGTCCCGTTAAGAACCAGGTACCAACATACAGACTTAATTATAGGGCAGTTTCCGCCAATAGCATGTTAATAATGAATAAATTATACCTCCTGCCAACTTCATGCTGATTGTGGTGTGTTTGTGTACTTCTTGCAGGGAATGTGTGGATCCTGCTGGGCATTTTCAGTCACAGGAAACATTGAAGGCCAATGGTTCCTGAAGAATGGGACGTTGCTGTCCCTCTCTGAACAAGGTAATACACACATCAAACACAGATGATGCTAATAATTCAATAACTTGCTCCTGCAGAAACAAATCATTGTTTACATTTGCAGATAAAAAGCCATGATTTGATTGGTTCATTGATCTGTCTCCCACAGAGCTGGTTGACTGTGATGGGCTGGACCAGGCGTGCAGAGGAGGGCTGCCATCAAATGCTTATGAGGCTATTGAGAAGCTAGGTAAGAAAGTGATGTGTGCGACCATTTTAAAACATTTTAGCTTCCAATTCCCATTTTTTCTTGGGAAATTTCAGCTGTTTATTGACTCTGAGCATCCTGCAAAAGCTTTTTGAGATTTTTCAGACCACATTTGACACCTCTGTACAAATAACTATAAGTTTATATGCTATTATGCTACCAAATAATTGCAAGTAGACTGTATCTCAGTACTGTAGCTCATGCAAATCAATCAACACCAAACCCAGACACAATTATTGTTTTGGTCTTATTTTAAATAATTTAGATTTTATACTTTAGAAAACAGAATAGTAAAAAAAAAACAAATATTTTCCTACATACTTATCCTGACCTGGAAAAGAGCAAATCAAATTCCATACTTTTCCATCCTGCGTAGGATGCTGAAAAGCATGCATTAATACATGTGATTCCTCCATGTGTTGTTAAGGTGGTCTGGAGTCAGAGACTGACTACTCCTACAGCGGACGCAAGCAGAGGTGTGACTTTACCACCGGGAAGGTGGCTGCCTACATCAACAGCTCTGTGGAGCTGTCCAAAGATGAGAAGGGTGAGTGGGCTGAATGAATAGAGAGGGGATGAAGAAGAAAGGGAAGACAAAGCAGTGATAAATGCACGGACAGAGATTCTTACTAAAATACACACCTGAAAGAGACATTAATTCGATTTTCCAGTGAATTGTGATTTCTTTTTTCAAAACATAGTTGAGATTAATGGGTGTTGATTTTTCAGGTGCATTAATTGTAACTATAAAATTTAACCGTGTGGCAGTTTGAAATAAAGGGCTGTGAAATTGACTAATTGTTCTTTTTTTTGTCTTCAGAAATTGCAGCCTGGCTGGCTGAGAATGGACCAATCTCTGTTGCTCTGAATGCCTTTGCCATGCAGGTAAGCAGTTTTGTCACTGCTACAGTATATTCATCAACCACAGCAATGGCTGAATCACTAACATTTGACATTTAACACACTGCTATCACTTCTAAGTAAAATATACATGAAGAGATAACAACATCATTCCAAAATACATCTTGTTTTCACTAAATTTAATCATTATCATATTTAATTCATTTTACTTATCTTTTGAATTTCTGTAGTTCTACAGGAAGGGTGTGTCTCACCCTATGAAGATCTTCTGCAACCCCTGGATGATTGACCATGCTGTGCTGATGGTGGGATACGGAGAACGTAAGTGATTTTTTTATGCTTTACTCATTTGTTTTAACCTCCTAAAACAAGCATACTGACATAAATCATGATAATTTTGTGAATCAAGATTCAGGATGCACTGTTTGAATGTTTCTGTGCTTTCAGGTAAAGGAATCCCATTCTGGGCCATCAAAAACAGCTGGGGAGAGGATTATGGAGAACAGGTACGATAACCCCGTCTACTAACAGTCTTTGTTTGTGGAATAGAAAAAGATTTAAAGAGCCTGTAACATTTTTTTTAAATATATGAAGCCACATTCATATTTTATTTTAAATAAATTAATTAAAGAATTTCTTTACTTGCTAAGATGATGAGTACAAATCAGTGCTCAGTCACCAGTGTGTTGTGTTACCTAAAACTACTGTTTGTACCATATTGCATTAAATTGGAAGGTTTGTTTACCAGTAAATAAAAATATAAATAAAGTTACTTTGATACTTTGTTGCTGTACATTATAAAGTTGTGAAAGTATTTGAGTTTTTCTCTCTTTCTCTCTCTCTCATACAGGGTTACTATTACCTGTACAGAGGGTCCAATGCGTGTGGGATCAACAGGATGTGTTCATCTGCTGTGGTCAACTAAAGCACTAACACCTCATAGTCTCACACACACACACACCCACACACACACACACACACACAATCATACCACATAAACCACAGCTACCAGCTGACCTCACTTTTACACTCACACACATCTGAGCCGGACTGCATGATGCTCACAGTCAAACACACAATCATTACCTACTGATGTTACTTTTCCGTTAAACCAGACTAGTGTTTCTTCCTCATACCTCATACCTCTTGTCAATTTACTAAAAACATACCAGCTCTAAAAAAAGCTAGCTTTGCTGAGAAATTTTACAGTAATTTTAAGGTAGATTTTATCTGCGCATTTCATTCCGTTAATGATGTTTTAGGCTGTATTGGTTTTAACTCATCTTTCCTCACAGCAACAGAGCCTATGTTCAGTAAAGATTGTGCACTAATTATAATTAGACTTCTGTCTTGTCCGTTTGATGTTTCGTTACCAGTGCTAATGTTATGTAGTCCTTGAGCGAGGGAGGTTGAAAAATGGGGGTTTTACCATATACTGGTCTGCACATGACTACATAACTGCAATGTAACTTTAAAAAAAAAACTGCTGTAAGACAGTGATAAATTAATGAAGGTGCAATAAAAAAGTATAAAATCCTGTTCTTTGTTTATTGTTATTTTCTTCTATGCACTACAACAGCAGAACAAACCTTACTACATAGATTAGATCACACTGTGTGTATATAATGACAGCATTTTTAATCCACAATGAATATTAAATTACTAAAATGTCATAGTGATATGAAAAGTAAGGGGAGATTACATTTTACTTTACAAACATGCACTGCTGTTGTGACTGAACCTCTTTGTTGTCTTCTAATAGTTAAAGTATTTAACAATTCATTGGTTTTAAGAATACTGACATTTGAAAGGTGACATTAATAAAGAAATGTTTGTTTTATAGTCATGTTATCTTGTGAAGAATGTGAGAACAGCAGCTTCACTGAGTGCCTGTGCTACTGAATGTTGCTCAAATCGAGAGAAAACTTCATTTCCCACAATGCAAAGGGGCTGCGACGGAAGAACTACACGTGTACTGCGCAGGAAAACAAAAACCTTTATTTTAGAATTAAAAGTATGATTTATTAACACAGTCAGACAATAAAGAGCATTTGATGCTGAAGTGACAAAGTGAACTGTTAGTTAGTGTAGTTCTAACCCCTCATTGCATAAGCACATTGGTTCCCAGCCTGGGGGGTTCAGCCAGTTCTGTGAATAAAACTAAATGATCAAGTAAAATAAAGTGTATATTATTATTTAAACTTTGAAGACCTGAACACAAGCTACATTCACACTAGCCTTCACTCTCTGATAAACATCTTCAAACAACCAAAAAGTTAACAGGAACAATGAGTAAGAAAACACTGAAATCTGCCAAAAAAAAAAAGCCTATTAAGTATGGATTATTAAACATGATAAAAAAAGGCATAATACAGACAGATATTTGTATAAAAACGTCAGGAAAACAGAAAGAAATAACCTGCTCAAAATGAATCTAAATCTCTTGTTTTACACAAGGTGCAGTTATAGTTTATCAGTTGTTATTATTATGCATTGAATATAATAAACAATGGATCCACAATATCTATAAAATATGTCAATTAGGGGGTCATCAGTTCACTCAATGATAGAAAATGTGTCCCCTTAAGTAAAAACACCACTGCTTTATATTTATATTCGCCTGCAAGACAAAAGGGGAAGACGACGACCTTTATTTTGAAAAGGGCAGAAGACTTGACACCGGAAGTGTAACGTTTGTCGTCAGAAAACAGGAACGCATGTGTTTTCGGATCCGCTGATAAAAATATCTCAACGCGTCTTTCCTTCTTAAAAGAGTTTGTTTAGCTGCTGTCAACCCTCACAGAAAACGAAGTCTGCTTCGAAGACACACACTTGCTCTTTTTCTTTCTTTCAAGGTAAACCTGCTCGTGTGACTGAGCGTTATTTCAGAAAGCGAAAGTTAGCTCAGTGCTAAATGAAAGCGCTGGTTGTGTTTGTGTTAAAACTCTTGTTTCCTCAGCTGGCGGAGGCAGCTGAAGCTCACCGTTTATAATGTCACAGGCCACCAAACGCAAACACGTTGTCAAGGAGGTTCTTGGAGACTTTGTCACTCTCACAGAAAACCAGCAGGTTGTGAAGGTGAGACACATGTTGACGTGCACAAACAAACAAACAAACAAACAAACAAACACATTATCCTGACTTGTTTTTTCTCTTGTGCATGGTGTTTTATTTATTATTTCCCTACTCTTACTGTTTTTTATACTGTTTTTTTCTC